TCACCCAGGCTGGAGTGCAATGGCACGATCTCAGCTCACTGCAACCTCCTCCACCTCCCGGATTCAAGCGATTCTCATGCCTCAGCCTCCAGAGTAGCTGGGATTACAGGCGCCCGCCACTACACCTGGCTAAATTTTGTATTTTTAGTAGAGACAAGAATTTCACCATGTTGGTTAGACTAGTCTTGAACTCCTGACCTCAGGTGATCTACCCACCTTGGCCTCCCAAAGTGCTGGGATTACAGGCGTAAGCCACCATGCCCGGCCTTTTTTTTTTTTTTTTGAGACAGGGTCTCACTCAGACTGGAGTGCAGTGGTGCAGTCGTGGCTCACTGCAACCTCCACCTCCCAGGTTCAAGCGATTCTGCTGCTTCAGCCTCCTGAGTAGCTGGGATTGCAGGCACATGCTACTACTGCATGGGGTTTCACCATGTTGGCCAGGCTGGTCTTGAACTCCTGACCTCAAATGATCTACCTGCCTCGGCCTCCAAAGTGGCGTGAGCCACCGCACCCAGCCCCACATGTATTTTGAATTAAATTATCCTGTTTTATTTAACAAGGGGAAATGGCTTTATTTAACAAGTAATCAAGGGCAACGACCAACTTCAGCTTAGTTACTGCTGCATCCAGTACAGCTGGCAAGGCCCCTGCCTGAAGGAAGGACACGAGCAATGCTGAAACAGTCCTTAGAAAGAACTTCCATATTTTATGAATATTTCAGATGTTAAAAAGTAGAGCAAAAGTGAAATTTTTTACATCCTCTGTTTTTGCTTTTTTCAAGTCAGGGTCTTACTGTGCACACAGGCTGGAGTGCAGTGGCATGATCTACACTGAGATCTACAGCTGAGACTACAGGTATGTGCCACCACACCCAGCTGTCCTCTCAGATTTTATAAACATAAATACTTTTTTTTTTTTTTTGAGACGGAGTTTCGCTCTTGTTGCCCAGGCTGGAGTGCAATGGCACCATCTCGTCTCACTGCAACATCCGCCTCCCGGGTTCAAGCGATTCTCCTGCCTTGGCCTCCTGAGTAGCTGGGATTACAGGCATGCGCCACCACGCCCGGCTAATTTTGTATTTTTAGTAGAGTCAGGGGTTTCTCCATGTTGGCCAGGCTGGTCTCAAACTCCCAACCTCAGGTGATCCATCCACCTCGGCCTCCCAAAATGCTGGGATTGCAGGCATGAGCCACCGTGCCCGGCCAAAAACATTTTTTTAAAGAGATTGGCAGGGCCGGGGGGGGGGGGTCTCACTATGTTGCCCAGGCTGGTCTCGAATTGGCTTCAAGTAATTCTCCTGCTTTAGCCTCCCAAAGTGCTGGAATTACAGACATGAGCCACCACATCTAACCCATAAAGGCACATTTAAGGGGCATGATTGCCCAAGTGCATTTCAGCACCAGAAAGAACCATGAGGAGAGGATCCCAGCCATGGAAACAGGCCTGTCAGGTGTGGTCAGGATGAATGAAAACTAACTTTGTGACTAAGTCAGCCAACTTATAGGAAATCAGCAAACTGATAGGAAATAATGTTTATAGTTAACATTTTCAGAAAACCAAATTGCTTTTCACTGCTTTTACAGATATCGGTAGACTGACTTACAGATTCAGTATTCATTACTTCGTTACATATTGAATCAAGTGGCCCTCTCGCTCTTAGGGGATGAAAGTTAGGCCTGGCTGGCAGAATTCAGACTGGCTGGGATAGAAGAGAAAGAGTCCCAGTTAAGACCGGTTATTTTGCTGTCCAGAAAACTCATCCCGGGGAAGCTAAGCAACTTTGCAAAAGTTGCTTAAGTGGTAAATAGCTGCACAGAAACCCACTGTGCCTGGGTCCTATTCTAATCATCTTCCTCTCAAGCCAGACTGATTTATTTGCTATGTGTGTGTGCATGTGTGTGTCTCCCTGCTTTGCCCAGTAAAAAGTACTGAAAGCACTGTACCGTAAGTACAAAGTAGTGTAAGACTGTAAAAATGAACATACAAGCTGATACCATGCAAAGCAATCTTAATGATCAATAAGAAAAATGATTGTTCTGTAACCTTCAAACTTTTTTGCCAAAACAATAAAAACTCTTTTAGTTTTAAATGTCCAGGGAAATGAAAATAGTAAAACTAATATTTATCTGGTACTATGTAATTTAATACATTAGAAATATTGAGGCTGGGCGCAGTGGCTCACACCTGTAATCCCAGCACTTTGGGAGGCCAAGTCAGGCAAACCACCTGAGGTCAGGAGTTCAAGACCAGCCTGGTCAACATGGTGAAACCATCTCTACTAAAAATACAAAAATTAGCCAGGTGTGGTGGTGGGTACCTGTAGTCTCAGCTACTTGGGAGGCTGAGACACGAGAATCACTTGGAACCGGGAGGTGGAGTTTGCAGTGAGCTGAGATCACACTATTGCACTCCAGCCTAGGTGACAGAGTAAGACTCTGTCCAACAACAACAGAAAGAAAGAAAAGAAAGAAAAGAAAGAAAAGAAAGAAAAGAAAGAAAGAAAGAAAGAAAGAAAGAAAGAAAGAAAGAAAGAAAGAAAGAAAGAAAGAAAGAAAGAAAGAAAGAAAAGAGAAAGAAATACTGAGAATTAGGTTTTTTTGTAAAAACCTACCAAGAGGCCCGGTGTGGTGGGAGACAAGAAGCAACACAACCACATGCCTTTCTGTGCATAAGTGAATGAAATAACAGACTTTCAAAGAAATTATGCAACTTGTCACTGATCATGTACACTTGTTATTCACACGGTGCTTTGTGCACTGACGAGCTAGCAACGAAGTTTATATTTTATGTAATTGCTCACACTTAATATACTGTAGTAACTGATATTTGAACCCTGTTGTTGGGAGACTGATGTTACTTAACAAAACCACGGTTAGCGAAATCCATGCATATCTGGGCCTTGTACAATGAATTCTGGCTGTATAATGTATTTGTATGACATTGGACAAGTCCCTCTGAGATAAAACCACCCATCTCTCAGAGTTACCATGCAAGGTAGTGATCACATAAATATGTTCTACACAGCAGTGGCCAGACAGCTGCCAGGCTTTTGAGTAGGAATAGTTAATATTTATGGCAACAGAAATAAAATCTAAATTTTTTGTAGAAAATTCCAAAATTAGGCTGGGCGCGGTGGCTCAAGCCTGTAATCCCAGCACTTTGGGAGGCTGAGACGGGTGGATCACGAGGTCAGGAGATTGAGACCATCCTGGCTAACCCGGTGAAACCCCGTCTCTACTAAAAAATACAAAAAACTAGCCGGGCAAGGTGGCGGGCGCCTGTAGTCCCAGCTACTCGGGAGGCTGAGGCAGGAGAATGGCGTAAACCTGGGAGGCGGAGCTTGCAGCAAGCTGAGATCCGGCCACTGCACTCCAGCCTGGGCAGCAGAGCGAGACTCCGTCTAAAAAAAAAAAAAAAAAAAAAAATTCCAAAATTAGGCAGGTGCAGTGGCTCACGTCTGTAATCCCAGCACTTTGGGAGGCCAAGGCCGGCGGATCATGAGGTCAAGAGATCAAGACCATCCTGGCCAACATGGTGAAATCCCATCCCTACTAAAAATACAAAAATTAGCTGGGCATGGTGGTGCGCACCTGTAGTCCCAGCTACTCGGGAGGCTGAGGCAGGAGAATCGCTTGAACCTGGGAGGCAGAGGTTGCAGTGAGCCGAGATTGCACCACTGCACACCAGCCTGGGCAACAGAGCAAGACTCCATCTCAAAAAAAAAAAAAAAAAATCCAAAATTGCTTTTAGATTCCTACTGATGTGATTAAACAGAAGATTCAATACTTTATGGAAACATATATATTTCCTATGCCCAGCTAATTTTTGTATTTTCAGTAGAGATGGGGTTTCTCCATGTTGGTCAGGCTGGTCTTGAACTCCCGACCTCAGGTGATCTGCCCACCTTGGCCTCCCAAAGTGCTGGGATTACAGGCGTGAGCCACCATGTCTGGCCACTAGTCTGAAACTTCTTAAGTCTTACCTAAATTATCGAGTTTTGAAAGGATGAAGAAGGCAGTTAGAATGTCTAAAGCAAGGTACTGTGTAACCACAGAAGAGGACTGTTGCCTTGTTTCCAGGGATGGAGGAGGCAGAATAGGGGTAAAAAGTGAGAAAAGGGATGGTGTTCCACAACAGTGTTCCGTGTTTTTCTGAGTCAGATCTACATGGGAGCTTCATTATTTGGTCTGCAATTTCTAAAATCTCTAAGTCTAGTCCCAAGTGCAAGAATGAACATATTCCAGTAACAAATAACAGAGTAAATTTTTAACATTTATAATTTTAGTTTTCTATAGCATGTTCCTAAGTGTTTTATTTTATTTATTTATTTCTTTCTTGAAATGGAGTCTCACTCTGTCGTCCAGACTAGAGGGCAGTGGAGCAATCTTGACTCACTGCTACCTCCCAGGTTCAAGCTATTCTCATTCCTCAGCCTCTGGAGTAGCAGGGATTACAGGCATGTGCCACCACACCAAGCTAATTTTGGTATTTTTTAGTAAAGACAGGGTTTCACCATGTTGGCCAAGCTGGTCTTGAACTCCTGGCCTCAAGTGATCCGCCAGCCTTGGCCTCCCAAAGTGCTGGGATTACAGGCATGAGCCACTGTGCCCAATCTAAGTGTGCTTTCTATATGGAACTACAGATATATCGATGAGTCATATGCATAAAGATAACAAAGTCCACTTTTTTTTTTTTTTTTAAAGAAACAGGGTCCTGCTCTGTCACCCAGGCTGAAGGGCAGTGGTGTGATCCCAGCTCATTGCAACCTCAACCTCCTAGGCTGAAGTAATCCTCCCACCTCAGCTTCCCAAGTAGCTAAGACTATAGGTACACACCACCACACCTGGCTAATTTTAAAATTTTTTTGTAGAGATAGGGTCTCGCTTATGCTGCCAGGGCTGGTTTTGAACTGCTGGGCTCAATCAATGCTCCCACCTCGGCTTCACAAAGTGCTGGGATTACAGGCATGAGCCACCATGCCCAACTGACTCAGTCTTTAATACAATTTTTTTCCCAGCATCTATAATATGGTCATTCAGGACAGTGTAGAAACAGCTTATCTGATGAGTGGATTGCTCATCAGATTCTGATAGTAGTCGGTGGAATTAACATTGGTAAGAAGCAGTTGAGACCTGTAAGAGCAAAGAGAGACAATTTATTTCAAGAGGGTGCCCAGACGACCTGCAAACAAGTTTGCTCCAGTGAGGTCCCTGAATTTGGAGAAGCAATGAAGGAGACAGGGCTAAAATAACAGAGTCGGTTGTTCCAGTGTTCCAAATGGGAAAAAAGAAACCACTAAAAACATTTTGAGGTACATCCTTCCAGAACTTTTTAATGTATATTAAAGTATACATTGTATATTTAATCCCTATACCCTAATCCATCATTCTAGGGAAATGTACACGGGATCACTATAAAAGTTCTAGATTATCTCCCTCAGCCCAGCCCCAAGTCTTCCCGAAGGCAGAAAAGTTGACCACTTGTCAGATAGGAGGTTAACCTCTGCCGTGGGTGTTACGATAGCAGTAAGAACTCAGCCTCGTCTCTAAGCACCCAGTTATTGAAGTATGGAGTACATGGTACAATTCCTTATCTCTGTTAGTGGCCTCCTGTATCTATCAGGGTTCAAAGGGAGAAACACCACCAGTCACGCCTAGCGTATGTGAGATGTGTTTCAGGGATCTGACGTTACGCAACTGCGGGAGGGAGTGGAGGGCTGCAGGAACATGCTGGAACGCACCTCAGGTCTCCCGTTCTCCGCGCCTCTGACCTCGGCAACCAGGACGTCTCGTAGAGGGCAGGGACCCTTCTCCACTGAGCTGCACACGCCTGGCCCCGGAAAGGCGAGGAGTAGCCAAAAGAGGCTCTCGGCCGGGCGCGGTGGCTCATGCCTGCAGTCTCAGCACTTTGGGAGGCCCAGGCAGGCCGGTCGGTCGCTTGAGCTCCGGAGTTCGGGAGCAGCCTAGCCAACATGGAGAGACCCCCGTCTCCACTAAAAATACAAAAAATGTAGCCGGGGGTGGTAGCACCCGTTCGTGGTCCCAGTTACCGGAGCGGTTGAGGCGAGAAGAGGCTGAGGCTGCAGTGAGCCGTGATCACACCACCGCACTCCAACCTGAGCCACAGAGCCAGACTAGGTCTCAAGAAAAAATCAGAGGCCGGTGGCAGCCGCTCTCCGCAGAGCCTGGGAGTCCGCGTCCCGCCCCGCTCAGCAGGCGCGCCCGGCCCCGCCACCGCTGGCGGCGCAGGAAGGGCGCTCTGGGCCACGTGGTCCCGCGGCCGCCCCCCCCTCCCCAGCTCCGGGCGGACAAGGGCGGCCTGCTCGGGGAGGAGCCCGCGTTGGGCGGGCTCAGTGCTTCCTGATACCAGGCGGCTGTGAGGCAACTTAGTTTTCTGAGGAAGCTTTGTTTTATTTTTCTTTGTCCGCAAAAGAGGTCAGCCCTATCCCTTGTTTCCCATTTTTCGCGGGTCTCTCTCATTGCCCCCAAACACCAGTTTTAACCACAGTTAAACTGAGAAAGAGCTGGGCATGGTGGTGGCACGCGCCTGTGGTCCCAGCTACCCAAGAGGCTGAGGACGGAGAGATCGCTTGAGCCCGGGAGGTCGAGGCTGCAGTGAGCCGGGATCGCACCACTGCACTCTAGCCTGGGCGACACAGTGAGACCTTCAACAAAAAAAAAATAATTTAAAAAACAAGGCCGGGCACGGTAGCTCACGCCTGTAATCCCAGTACTTTGGAAAAAGGAGACGGACGGATTGCTTGAGCAATCCGTTCAAGATGAGCCTGGGCAACATAGCGAGACCGCGTCTCTATAAAAAGAAAAACACAAATATTAGCGGGGTGTGCTGGCCAGAGCCTGTGGTCCCAGCTACTCGGGAGGCAGAGATGGGAGGATCGCTTGAGTTCGGGAGGCAGAGGTTGCAGTGAGCACAGACTGAGCCAATGCACTCCAGTCCGGGAGAAAAAGCGAGACCCTGTCTCCAAAAAGTAAAAAAAATTTAAAAAAAAATTAAAAAAGGGAATGGTGGCGGGAAAGGAAGGATAAGGAGAGATTTGCTAAAGGATATACATAAGTACAGCTATCTGATTTTCTGTGCCATAGGATGACTGTGGTTCACCATAATAGTTTCAAATAGCTAGGAGAAAAATATTGAATGTTCCCAACACAAAAAAATGATAATTATTTGAGATGATGGATGTTAATTATCCTGATCTCTATACGTTACATGTATCAAAACATCATCACTATGTACTCCATGAATATGTACAATTATTTGTCAATTAAAAATTATTTTAAAAAGATCAACTGATCTTTATGAACTACCTTTTTCCCCCACCCTCTGTTGTAGGAGGGAATAAAACTTTAAAGTCAACTTTATTAAGAACCATTATGATGAAGATTTTATAAAAAGCTCAGATTTGGCCAGGCACAGTGGCTCATGCCTGTAATCCCAGCACTTTGGGGGTCCCAGGTGGGTGGATCACTTGAGGTCAGGAGTTTTACACCAGCTTGGCTAACGAATGGTGGAACCCCATCTCTACTAAAAATACAAAGATGAGCTGGGCGTGGTGGCATGTGCCTGTAATCCCAGGTACTTGGGAGGCTGAGGTGGGAGAATTGCTTGAATCTGGGAGGTGGAGGCTGCAGTGAGCCAAGATGGAGCCACTGCACTCCAGCCTGGGTAACAGAGCGACTCTGTCTCAAAAACAAAAACACAAACAAAACAGGTTACCTTAGGTGAGGTATGGTGAGGTTAGATGCAGTACAGGAGTCACAAACCAGTTTTACAAGTTTTACAGTTTTAGTTTTTGTTTTTTGTTTGAGACAGTCTTTCACTTCCTCAGGCTGGAGAGTAGTGGCGCTCCAGACTCTCAGAGGAGGTTGCTCCTCCACCTCCCAGTTTCAAGTGATTCTCCTTCCTCAGCCTCCCGAGTATCTGGGACTACAGGCGCGCACCACCACACCCGGCTAATTTTTGTATTTTTAGTAGAGACAGGGTTTCACCATGTTGGCCAGACTGGTCTTGAACTCTTGGCCTCAAGTGATTTGCCTGCCTCTGCCTCCCAAAGTGCTGGGATTACAAGCGTGAGCCACCATGTTGGCCCAAGTTTTAGTTTGGTACTCTCATTTCCCTGGGGCTTCACACAAGGCCACTCAGCAGGAACAGAAGGGGTCACTAGGCAGAGGAAGTGAGGGGGGAACTGCGGAAGAGCTTTTGTTGTGGTTTTTGCAGGAAGAGAAGGGTTAGGCAAGGCCAACAGGTTTGGGATTAGCTAATTTGAGTAATTTCTGGGGGCTGAAGGACATGGGGGCTGACTCTAGTTGTCTAGTAGCTGGCCCTGGAGTGATTAGGCTGGGTGTATAATGGTCCCTAGTGTTTGAGCCTGATAACGGAGGTGGTTGGGGATGCAGACATAATCGGCAGCTCAAGAAGAGGAAGACTTTTAGCCAGAGCCTAAAAACAAGTCAAGACAGCACACACCCACACACAAACTACATTGCCTGAAACAATATTCTTTAAAGATATTTACCTAAAGGGCCACAAATTTAATTAAATCCCTGATCCTGAAACTTCAATACTCCCCATTGACTGTATAAAATTATCTTCAGGTTTTTTTTTTTTTTTTTTTGAGGAGTCTCGATCTGTGGCTCAGGCTGGAGTGCAGTAGAGCACTTGGCTCACTGCAACCTCCACCTTCTGAGTTCAAGCAATTTTTCTGCCTCCGCCTCCAGAGTAGGTGGGATTACAGATGTGTGCCACCACGCCCAGCTGATTTTTGTATTTTTAGTAGAGACGGGATTTCACTATGTTGGCCAGGTTGGTCTTGATATCCTGACTTCAGGTGATCCACCTGCCTCAAGCCTCCCATAGTACTGGGATTACAGGCGTCAGCCACCGCACCAGGCCTGTATTTTTAGTAGAGAAGGGGTTTCACCTTGTTGGCCAGGCTGGTCTCGAACTCCTGACCTTAGGTGATTCACCTTCCTCAGCCTCCCAAATTGCTGGGATTACAGGTGTGAGCCACTGTGCCTGACCAATTTAGAAATATTTTATCACTCAAAAATTAGGCAGCTTTCAGGGATCATTTCTGTAGTTGGTTACTAGAGAACTTTCTGTGAAAGTGTAGAGCCCCGGAAACGACAGGAGGTGCAGTTTTCTCCTGAGTGTGAAGCCGGTGTTGCTATCACCATTGATGTTTCTTCTCCTCCGGGGGGAGTGAGAGGGAGAGGACACAGGCTGAGTGGTTTCAGTTACCAAAGGAAAAAAATATATTTACAGCAATGCTTTTTATGTATTTATTTTTCTGAGACAGAGTCTTGCTCTGTCACCCAGGCTGGAGTGCAGTGGCATGATCTCGGCTCACTGCAACCTCCGCCTCCCAGGTTTAAGCAATTCTCCTGCCTCAGCCTCTGGAGTAGCTGGGATTACAGGTATGCACCACCACGCCCAGTTAAGTTTTGTATTTATAGTAGAGACGGGGTTTCACCATGTTGGCCAGGCTGGTCGCGAATTCATGACCTCATGATCCGCCCACCTTGGCCTCCCAAAGTGCTGGTATTATAGGTGTGAGCTACCACGCCTGGCCTGCTTTTTATTTTTTATTTCATTTTATTTTATTATTTATTTATTTTTTCCGAGACTGAGTCTTGCTCTTGTTGCCCAGGCAGGAGTGCAGTGGTTCAATCTCGGCTCACTGCAAACTCCGCCTCCTGGGTTCAAGCGATTCTCCTGCCTCAGCCTCCCAAGTAGCTGGTATTACAGACGCCTGCCACCACGCCCAGCTAATTTTTGTATTTTTAGTAGAGATGGGGTTTCACCATGTCGGTCAGGCTGGTCTCCAACACCTGACCTTGTGATCCGCCAGCCTCGGCCTCCCAAAGTGCTGGGATTACAGGTGTGAGCCGCTGCAGCACCCGGCCAGTAATGTTTTTCTTTTTTCTTTTCTTTTTTTTTTTTTTTAAGGGTTTCACTCTCGTTGCCCAGGCTGGACTGCAATGGCACGATCTCTGCTCACTGCAACCTGCGCCTCCCGGGTTCAAGCGATTTTCCTGTCTCACCCTCTCGAGTAGCTGGGATTACAGGCATATGCCACCATGCCTGCCTAATTTTGTATTTTTAGTAGAGACAGGTTTCTCTGTGTTGGCCAGACTGATCTCGAACTCCTGACCTCAGGTGATCCGTCCACCTCAGCCTGCCAAAGTGCTGGGATTACAGGCACGAGCCACCGCGCCTGGCCCAGTAATGCTTTTTAAAGAGTAGAAAAGCACCTCGGAGCGCTGGTTTATCTGTAATCTTTTTTTTCTTTTTTTTTTTTTTTTGAGACAGAGTCTTGCTCTGTTGCCCAGGCTGGAGTACAGTGGCACAATCTCACTGCAACCTCTACCTCCTGGGTTCAAGTGATTCTTCTCCCTCAGCCTCCCGAGAAGCTAGAATTACAGGCACAGGCACATGCCACCACACCCAGCTAACTTTTGTATTTTTTGTAGAGACAGGGTTTCACCATGTTGGCCAGGCTGTTCTCGAACTCCTGACCTTGTGATCTGCCCGCCTCGGCCTCCCAAAGTGCTCGGATTACAGGCGTGGAGCCACCGCGCCTGGACTATCTGTAATCTTTTGTCCAAAAACAATAAAAGGAAAGAGCAAAATGTCTGTTAACTTTGTTATAGATCTACAATTTTCTGTATGTTTAAAATATTCCATAATTTTTTTTTTTAAATGGAAGTTAATAAGAGAAAAAGAAAGGTAGAGAGAAAGAGAAAATGCATGCTGTCCTGTCCCTTGCACATTTTGATCCAAATGAAGTTTTCTGACTCTCCTGAGGCTCCATAGAGATGAAGGCATCTAACTGTACAGTTTTTGGTGGGAAAACTCATGATCAGACTAAAAGATGACTTAGAATGAAGAAAGAGCTGGCCAGGTGTGGTGGCTCATGCCTGCCTATAATCCCAGCACTTTGAGAGGCCAAGGCAGGTGGATCACTTGAGATCGGGAGTTCCAGACCAGCATGGCCAACATGGTGAAACCCTGTCCCTACTAAAAATACAAAAATTGGCTGGGCGCGGTAGCTCATGCCTGTAATCCCAGCACTTTGGTAGGCCAAGGCGGGTGGATCACCTGAGGTCAGGAGTTCGAGACAACCCTGGCCAACACGGCAAAACCCCATCTCTAGTAAAAATACCAAAAAAAAAAAAAAATGTAGCTGGGCATGGTGGTGGGTGCCTGTGATCCCAGCTGCTCAGGAGGCTGAGGCAAAAGAATCGCTTGAACGCGGGAGGCGGAGGTTGCAGTGAGCCGAGATCACACCATTGCACTCTAGCCTGGGGGACAAGAGGGAAACTCCGTCTCAAAATATAAATAAATAAAATAAAAGTAAATAAATAAAAATACAAAAATTAGCCAAAAATTGCTTGAACCTGGCAGGCAGAGGTTGCAGTGAGCCCAGATCGTGCCACTGCACTCTAGCCTGGGCGACAGGGTGAGACTCTGTATCAAAAAAAAAAAAAAAAAAAAAAAAAAAGGGTGAAGAGCTAGAACTTAGCTTACTAACATCCAAGTAAGGCCCTCAGTTGCTTGC